TTGTTGACTCTGTCAATTTCAGGAATTGAAATTTCACATATAGATAACCTTTTTCCTTCTTTTTGTCATTTCTTTTTTTAAAAAAAGAAGAGGTGTGGTGTTTGTTTTATAGTCTATTCCTTAGCCAGCTCATTATTTGGACGCATTGTTATTTCAATCTCATTTATATCCCACCGTGTCCATTTTACCTTTTTCAGGATATATTTGTTTTTTTTTTTTTTTTTTTTAGAAAGAGTATATTGTACAATTAGCCCTCTCTTTTCGTTTCATTAATTTTTAATTTTCTATGCAATACGCATCAATATCATAATTTTAAGTTGGTTGATAAGAATATGCCCAAAAAAAAAAGGTTTGGTAAAATGATTTTTTTTTCTGGGATAAAAAAGATGTAGCATGTTAAAAATAAGGCTCATTTTTTTTAAAATTATCTTTTAAAATTTCAAAATTTAAAGAAAATTTAATCGATTAAAAATATTATTAGTTAAAAAAATTAAATCATTTTAAAAATAATAATTTCTTATAAAAATTATTTTTGAAATATTGGTTAAACTTATTTCAAATTAAAAAAAAATTATGTAGGCACATTTACTAATCTACTTATAATAGTAATAGCACTTAGTATAAATCATCCCCAACCTATCACATACCATCATGTATTGATTTATTGAAAAATTACACAACATTATATTTTATATTTTTTCATTTTATTTTTTTAGATGTAAACATCTTTATAAATTTTTAGATATTATAAGTAAATATTCAATTTATTATAATAAAAAATTAAATTATTTTTGAAAAAATTGTTTTCTATAATTAGATAATTATTCTGCCATAGGACCATCACGAAATAATACAGGTCTATCCACTTTGCTTTTTCCTCGAGTTTACGTTAGTCCATGTTACAAATTCGGAAGTTCACACAGCATAATCAAGTACTTGTCTCTTCGTCAGAAGAACATAAACCAAGAATTAAAATAACATACCACATCTAAAAAATTTTTTTTTTTTTTTGGAAAAAAAAAGGAAAGAAGGACAATAAAATAACCAAACTCTATACCCAATTTTTAAAAAATTGATTGCATTTCATTATCCCCTTAAATTACTAAATACTAATATAAATAGCTAATTTCGACTAATTAAACTCTTAGAAACTAATTATAAACTAATAGTCGTTATCTTTCTAATAACTGTCGAAAGTTTAACTTAAAAAAATGAAAAGTTGCCAAAATCTTTATATATGGAGAGAGAAATGCGTCAAAAACAAAATTACAAAATTCTGAAAATAGAATTTTATTTTTTATTCACAAAAAATCCGAAACTTTTATAATTTTTTAATTAATATAAAAATGACATAAATTTTTAAATATGTATTTCTTTATAATTAAATTCCAAATAAAAATTTATAAAACTCTAAAGATCTAACGCTATGTGGATAGTGGAGGGTGTAAAATAAAAGAGATGTAAAATAAAGGACTAAAAGGTTACTATTCACTTTACCTTCTTCTTATATTACCAACTCTTTGTTTTGATTTGGGCAGGAAAATAAGAGGGAGGAAGTAAAAATAAATTTATTTTACATTATTTGGGAAGGGCCCCAACCAAATGGGATGAAAGGCGAAACTATGTATTTTTATAAATTTTACATTTTTACCGTTTTTATATTATTTATATATATATAATATATATATCAAATTGTTTCTAATTTAATTTAATATAAATTACAATCTTGTTCAATCTATAACATAAATTTTGAAATAATATATTATTATAAAAATTACCATAAAAATAATAAATTTATTATATAAAAAGTTTTGTAAGTAAATTTATTTAATTAATTATTATATTACTTGGCTTTTATTTTTGTACAAATGCACAAATATGTCCATCTATAAACATGCTTCATACGAATTTAATTATCATAATTTTTTTTCAATAATTAATTTATAATATTTTGCAGCAACTAAATGGAATAATCGTCCTATATTTTTACCAAAATTAATATAGTTTAAAAGGATACGTCATTTTTACGATAAACACCAAAACAAGGAAACTTGAACTAATTTTCAGAATGATACTCATTTATTCTATCCATATTTAACCGTAATGATTAATTAGACTAGCAATAAATTTGCAATTCACTAAAAGTCCTCATCAAAACAATTAACTATCCACCTTTCTAAAATGGAGCAATTAACTAATATTCAAATCAAACCACAAATCTAATTTAAAAACTAACATATTACTACCAAGTTTGTCATTTACTGTAATGCTTCTTGATTTTTTGTTACTCGAACTAATAACCCTCATTAACATTCTAAAGCCTTGATCGAGGGACACGTAAGAAAGATCGAGTTGCTGCCGGATTATTAGGACAGATAGAAATATGCATCCATCAAAATGATTGTGGATGCAGCCCTTATCACTTCTTAACTCTAATAATCTGGTTCTACCACGTTTGAAGAATTGAAAAGACGACTGCTTTTGCAAATTTCGGGACTCTTTAAGCAATAGCTATTCCCTGTGCCAACACTCTGACACTTTCGTTTAATTCCCTGGTGTTTAGCTTTCATATTGTTTATCTAACACATCCATCATAGATTGCCCTTCATGTTTCGAGCCTTTGAAGAAGATGTGCCGTGAGAATTAATAGTTTCCATCGATTATACTGAATAATGTTATTATTCTCACGGCACACCTTTCTCAAAAGGATTCAATAGTTTTATAAGTAACCAGAAGTAACGAAAGGCAGACACAGCACTATGCGGATTTCCTTCTAGCTACTTAAAAGACAATGTTTAAAGAGAGGATAATATTCAAAGTTAAATCTGACCTATTATGGCTTATCCATTACCTGAAAAAGAACACTAACAATCATTCCCAGAAAATGTAGAAGGGAAACAGGCACAACCATGTTGAAAGTCTTACTGGTCTATGAAAAGAAAAAGATTGGTCAGTGTTGCAATAATCAAATATTCATTCCTTAACTAAAGCATGAAAATAATATATTATTAGGGGTATTGTCGAAATATTCAATTTTATTATATCAATCATACACATCAAAAAGCTACATTTCATTTAAGTGCTATTTCCAAAAATAAAGAAAAGCTAGGCATTGACCACAGTTCTGTTCTTAGAAAGGCTTGTCACAGGACATATAGACAATTGATAAACAATAATAATAATCCATCAGAACTATTTTCTTACCACTGATCTACTTCTCAGTTAACCATTCATCTAAATTTCTCAACCAAAATTATCTACCATAATCAGAATACGCTACGGCTTCCAGATTCTTCAAACACAGCTAGTTAGGACATTCTCCTGTATAAACAAGGGTGATTATCAACTGTCTTTCAGCAGCTAAGATTTGTTATTCCACTTGCTGCCAACTCCCCTCAATGCTGGGCACCCAATATTGCCTTATCAAGTTACAATTAATTATTAAATTTCAGTAAAATATTTGATCTCCATGATTTTATAATCCACCCATTACATGATTAAACTGAAGTATGACATCAACCAATTAATCGATGTATATGCAACACATATCCAAGTTTTTTGAAATTTCCTCCCAGGACTCAACAAAAAAACAAAACATGATGCATTTCTGCAAAGCTTTCCATGAAAAGTTCCAATTGCGATATCAAATACCCCTTGCCTTCATTGAAACCTTCCGAACAAGGTACCATAATTGCTTCAAGCATTGAACTTTTTGTGGGTCACAACTGCCTATAAATTTATTAACCATATATCTCCATTTCCTTCACCAATCCATATAGCCCCAGTGTGTAACATGGAGGAGAACAAATGGGAAATCTCCCTCCATCTTGCTGATTTTGTCACCGAAATCTTACCTTAGGAGAGGGGAATTCATTATTACTCTTGGAGTTCAAGTTATATAAAACTTGAGATTAAAAAGTTCCACCTTATGAAGAAGGGAATTTTTATTTTTACCAATTAACACAATTACAATGCCCTCAACTCATCCAAAAAAAACAAATCCTTCTTCTCCCTCCCCTGGTACATTAGTTTTAAAAGGCTTCCCAAACACAAGGAACCTCCCTGCCATTCCCTTCTCTTAGCTCCTTTCAATCCAACAGCCTTTTTACCCATGCTAGTTAAAGGCACATTGGTTTGGCTGGCTATCAACTTCAACTTTGTTTACCATATTTCTAACAATCATACAGCAAAAAATATAAAACCACTCAGAAACATCGAAGGGCAGGCCTATGCCACTGAATTAGTGGCCCATTGACTTTCACTTCTTACAAAACAACCAATATAGATAAGATTTGAAAGTTATTCTGCAAATTTGAAACTCTGAAAACTGGCCCAAGGCTTCTTTATTTCCAACTAGTCCCATGTTCGTCAAATGGATCTTCTTAGTTGTTGAGAGGTTGCCCAAAAGCAGTATATAAAGCATACCCAATAAAACCTTACAAAGTAGAAACCAGGGTACAGAGATCCCACTATTCATCACACTCCCCTTCAAAATATATACCAGAATTCTACACGGTAGTAAAAACCAAAAAACAAAGAGAAAAGAAAGAAAGAAAAATCTTTGTTCAAGAGAAATTATACTATCACTTCCTATAACTCAATAATCTTCTAAGATTGAAGTCACCAATATGTTGGCACCAGCAGCTATCCACACTCAACAAAGCCATACAAGACATCAATCCCAAAACATACTATCAAAGTTCAAACAACAATGATTTCAGATTTTGTCCTTATATGATACAATAATGATCACAGTATTTATGAGGGAAAAAAAATAAAAAGCAAAATGAATCAATGAAATATGAAAATTGGGAAATTCAACAATCTTTTTTCTGATCTTCTTTTATAGGACACACATTTTGTCATTTTTTACCAAAGTTTAAAATTAACAACGCATTTTGGTTAATTGAAGAAACATGAGGCACCAGAAGCAACCAGTTTTTAGAGACTAACAACACATGGACAGTCCAATTCCAAATATGTCAAATATAATCCCAGCATTGCATTCATTCAGATTTCATTGCTGAGAGAAACATTAAATAATCTCATAAAAAAAGTCTAGGCTTCGTAGAGAAGGTATCTAAAAATAAAGTGTCTCATATGCCAAAACCAAAAACTGCCCGTATCTTATGGAAAATTGAGATTCCCGCCATCCTCTCTTCGTAGTTCTCCCACCACAAGTTTGCATTCCCATATCTGCACCAGCAACAAAATAAGTTAACTAACAACAAACAAAAATATCGTTTCAACTATTCATTATTTTTTTTTTCAATTAAAAATCAACCTGTTCTTCTTCAGGAATGTACAGTATGAATCAGTTTCACAACAGTTAACCCCATTGTTCAGGCTCCCTCCAAGTAAGCCTTACCTGCCAGACCATCGAATCCGACTCCATTCAGTTAAAGCAAAACAATCAAAACATAATCAGAAGTTTATAACTTTATAGCAGGAGCTAGCAAGAACAACTAAAACCGTTTTGAAACAACTCCATCAGGCCCAAACTCCCAAACCTCCAGTTTTTGCACAATCAGCTTCCCAATCTTGCAAACTCTACATTTCTTCGCCTGTCACTGACCCATCAAAAAATACTAAATTCACCCACCGACCTCTTTTACTAATTTTTGCATTGCTCTGTGTAAATCCTTTCCATCTATTTCTCATCGCTTCCAATATTTCCATACATATCTCTAGCTCTGCAACTAAACTTCTCTGACATACTTATAGTCTTAAACCCTTTTTTACTCTTTCTCACCTTCCTCCTTCTCAAGCTATCGGCTGAGCCAGCTCCTTCTTGGAGGTCGGATTGCGCCTTAGGTGCAACCTTTTTTGGCTTCTATCATCTTACCAGGACCTCCCTTTGCCATTACCTCTGAACATAAACCCTGATTTTCTCTTTCGATCACTGGTTTTCCTTTTTGCCATCATGCTTTTTCCTTCAATTGTCATTCCAATTGGACCATCATCCTGACAGAAACCCTAATTCCGGATCCTCGTTAGGCGTTCTCGATCCGCAAAATATAAGGTATTTCAACAGATCCATCAAGCTTTAAGCAAAGATTTCCCATCAGAATCTTTTAGCTTCACCTTCCCAGGATAAGCATTACGCTTTCAATTCATATCCAGGAGATGATCTTAACCCCTGCGGAATAGTTAACATAAGCCTCCCCGTCGACCTCTCCAAGCTTCTTGCTCTTGATAAAAGATTCCTTCGCCCATTCAAAGAATAGATATACCAAGAGAGAAGTTTTGGGAGAAGGAATTTCTTGACCATTTCCAAACAATTCCGTCTCCGCTAGTGCCCAATTGTGAACGTTAGCTCCCGTCTTTTGCTCTTTCCCTCTATACAATCCAAAATCGCTTGTCACCTTCTCCGTACTTTGCCATGTATAATAATAACAATAAACTTGAAAAGGAGGTAGAGAAACAGAGAGCTTACAGTTCAGAGAGTTAGAAACAAGGAAATGCAAGGCGCCGCAATAGGAGAGGGAAATAATAAGGAGGAGAATAGAGAAGAATAAGCTATAGGAGTCTGGAGGCTTTCTGCTAAAGTTGGAAGGGCCTCTAGAATTTTAGTATTCTATTTAGTATTAATAAGTATTGATTCAAATTAATTTGGGGTGGTTCTTGGAGGATCTAGAAGAACAGTCTTTCTAATTAGTGTTTTTGTTGTATAACGATGTGGGAACAATAGCAATCCAGTTTTCTTTCTAAACTGAGTGGCTGAATCAACTTCGCATTCGCAATTTATGTATTTTTATACTCATTACAACGGTCCTCTATGGGCAATTAGTTGGGTTGGGGCCTGATTGGGCTTATCTGGCCCATTAGGTCTAATAATCAAAATATAGCTTTTTTTTTTTTTACCAAGTGCAATTCAATATGGGTTTGTTTTTTGAAAAAAAAAAATTATTCTTAAAGTAGGGCAATATTGATTTTTGTGAGTGAAATTATAAAATTTTAAAATTCAAGATACACTATATAAAATTTGAAATTTACATTCAAATTAAATAAATTTATATTTCATTTTGGAATTATCAAATATAATGAAAAGATTAACTGTATAACGTAAATAAAAAGCCCACATACACGTATACAGCATACACATTAATTAAACATTGCGGCTGCCGCTACACCACATTTGAACTCGTTGTATTAAATGTATTTCATTCTAAAATATTTTTTTTCCAAAATATTAATATTAATAAACTTTTATTTTAATAAAATGTGGAAGCATTAATGATTTTTTTTTACAGTTTATATTTAATTTTTAATTCATAAATGCAATTTGAATTTAAAATTTAATTCTTTAATGTAGAATTAAGAATTGAGCCTTAATATTCATTAACTGAGTCAAAAATTATTTTATAACATTTTTTTCACGGAAGAGAAAAATATATTTTTTTTACCCGTTTTTCTAAAATAGACCTTTAAACAAATTCAATAAGATGAGTCTTGCCCACTAATTTACTTTTAACAAGCTTTTTTTGCAAATTTCTTTCGTAATTTTATGCTGATTCACTACCATTTCTCACCTTAGAAATGTTGTTATTTCAAGTTTAGCTTTACTGTAGATTGTAAATTATTTTACGTTTGGCTTATTCTAGTTTGTGATATTAGTTTAAATTCTATATGAAACTTTGTTTGGAATATTTGTATTGACTTAATTTATAGGTTTATTGTATTCTTAAGAGTCATTTGACTAAGTTTTTTCTTTAATCTAATTATTCCATGTTAAAATTGAAGTATAAGAGAGGGATCCTATCAGCTAGAATTAGTGTTTGGAATATTAAATTTTTTCTGGCAATATATATAAATAAAATAAAATTTAAAATAAAAATCAACTTACTGATAAAAAAAATATTATGTTAGAAACTTAATAAATTAACGCATTTTCACATAATGAAAAAAAAAAAAAAAAGGCAAAACCCATTATGCATTTTAGGCAAAATCCATTGTTAAGTAAATTTATCTATTGTAAATGGAAATGCTTAAAATTAGAAAATTTTGACCTATTTGTACAAAGCGAGTTATATTATTATTATTTAGATTCATTTATTTATTGTTTCTTAAGAATGTTTAATATCAAAAGTATTTATCATTTTCAAAAGTTAATAAGTACCGATTACCTACTTCCTTGGGCTTCACATATAGTTATATAGTAAAATATATTTTAATTACATTAAGAAAAAACTAGTTAATGCAGCATTTTTATTTTTTCAAAAAGTATGCTATATTAGTATGAAAACTATACCATTGAAATATAGACATACATTAAATATGGTACATAGAAATTAAAGAATAAATTTATTAAGAAAAAAATTATATTTTGAGACAGACGAAAAAAAGAAAGCGAATATATATATATATATATATATATATAATATTATATATATATGAAACACTTGCTGTTATGTTAAAATTATTATTTTAGAATTTTTCTAAAAAAAAAATATTTTAGTTTTAAATTAAAGATCGATTTTACATTTTAATTTAAATGATTAATTATTTCATTAATACCGTATAAAATTTTCTTAAATCATAAAACATCTAATATATATGACACTGCTGTTATGTTAAATTATTATTTTTAGAATTTTCTAAAAAAAAAATAATTTAGTTAAATTAAAGATCGTTTTACATAATTTAAATGATTGAATTATTTCATTAATTACCGTATAAATTTCTTAAATCATAAAACATCTTAAACTCATTCTTATAGAAGCGGAAAGGGAGTAACTCTTAACAAGTACTCCGCCAAAAGCACACAACGGTCTTGTCGACAACCGGTTCATTTTCCAAACTAAACACCTAATCCTTTCGTTCTTCAGAGCCAAACCAATTCCTTCCAGCCTTCATCAGCAACGAAATGAAGAGGCAGCGATTCAAGCGAGTAGCGAAATCCACGAAACCGATTCAACCAACCGAACCCGGCATCGACGACCCGGAAACTAGGGCGAGTGAGCGCCTGAAATCTGTAACCGTTGGAGCCAAACCCAAGTCCCGCCAACCCCAACCCAAAATTCTGTCGCTTCCTCCAATCCCAAACCCAAATTCACTGTCTTTTGATAAAATAAGAATATTGCCGCCTCAGTTCTTTCATATTGACGCTCTTGATCTTGCTCCTCGCTTGCTTGGCAAGTTCCTGAGGAGAGATGACGTTGTTCTTCAGATTACTGAGGTAATGTAATTAAAGTTTTTCCCTTTTTTATCGAGAAATTTGTGTGGAAAAAATTAAAATTGAAAATTGAGGTATTGATTATTTGTTAATTATGGAGTTTGTTTTATACCCTTTTGGTAATATTCTTCTGATGAAATACTGTGATTTGGTAATAGAAAGACCGAAAGAGTAAAAGATTATTTATTTATTTGTGGCAAAATTACTATTTTGTGTCTATAATTTGCCAAAATTAATTAACCTATCTTTACATTATCGATGTCCTTCCGTTAATTTTTTTACATCTTCCGTTAGATTGACTTGTGAAAAGAGATGAAGAATACATAAATCGCCATTTGATGTGGACAGATACTCATCGCTATGTCCATTCCCATTATATTCATGGAAACGGCAACGTATTACCCGATTAGAGTCAATTTCAAGAAAGTACCAATTCAATTTAAAGCCCGTCTTTCCATGAAAAATCTGACCCTAATGCGATTATCCCCAAGTGTAATCCTTCATAAGAATTTCAGATTCGAAGTTCCTAAATCATTTTGTGAAGCTGTTATTGTTCATTCGCGAGTTCAAATGGCAACGAAGAACTATCAATCACAAACATCAACGGCGGAGATTTTGAACAAGGAAGAAGATGGAGAAAAGTCGCCTCCTCCACCACCTCCGCCGCCGGAGCAGCCGGAGCCTGGTGATTGTTGCGGAAGCGGATGTGTTAGGTGCGTTTGGGATGTGTATTATGAAGAACTTGAGGCTTATAACCAGCTTTATAAATCCCAGTCAAACGGCTCTAATTCTAAGACCTCCTCCTGATTTGATTATGATTATGATTTGCGTTTTATTTTTTCTCTTACAATTTTTTTTAAAAAATTATTGGTGTACTTTGGGATATCTGATTCTACTGTTGTAAGAATTTGTGATTTCCTTAATGAGGAAAATAAAATTCTTCTATAACATTTCTTTTAGGGATTTTATTTATTTATTTTGGAACTATTTTACTCTTCTGTAAATGGATTGTGATAAGCCATTACTTACAAAGTCGAAAATACAAGATCTAAGTGCTGAACCAAACTGAAACTCAGCCTATTGTGCTATTCATTCAGGGACGGGAGGGTGCAAGAGAAGGATATGAGGAATGATGGATTGACCAAGATATTGTTGGTGATGCAAAGTGAAAGAGATGGGATTCTGTGAAAAATGTGTAGGGAATTGTTTAAAGTATTGAGATATTGAGAAATTGGTACGAAAATGGTGGGATGGTTATGGTCGGTAGAAAGACAAATAGGGAGAAGAGAGGGATGAAAAGAAAAGGAGAGAAAAGACAAAATAGAAAATGAAAATTTGTTTATTTTGGTTTAATTAAAAGAGCATTTTTGTCTTTTCATAAGGAAATTTAACCGAAATAGTACAAAAAGTTGATGAAAGGATATAATAATGTAATAGATGCAAAACATAGAATAAAATTAGTGTATTTTCAAAAATGCAGGAATAGTCTAATTTATTTTGGCGAAACACTGGAACAAAATAGTAAATTTCTTTTCTTGTTTTCTTTTAGCGTATATGCATGAAAACTCCTACTCACAGGTGTTTTCTCTATGTAAAATTATATTTTAAGACGTCATTTCCGGTATTTCCACATTTTGGCTTCCATTTCCGTGCAACATAGGTGCATTTGTTTTGTTAGGGATAATGCTAACTTCATGTTTAGCTGACAACATTAGATTTGGAAGTGTAGTAAGGAATTACGTTTTGACAGGTTGAAGCTTACCGGCCTAATGATTCAGCTTGTCATGGTAGATTTGGGATTACTGCAAGAACAGCTCCAGTTGTAAGAATACACTATAAAGATTCATTTGAACAATGACAACATTCTTAGATTGTAAATGATTTCGAATTTTGAATTTTGGTAGTAATTTTTGCATGTAATTCATTTATCTGGATATAGTTTGGACCGGGAGGGCATGCATATGTTTATCTTTGCTATGGTCTCCATACAATGCTAAATGTTGTTGCAGACAATGAAGGAGTTGGAGCTGCAGTCCTGATTCGCTCCTGTGCTCCCATTAGAGGTAATTTTCCATTCATAAACTTAAGAGTTGCACTTAAAGTAATTAGCTAGGTTTGCCCGCGTGTTGCTTTGCCTTCTTATTGTGTTTAATTTACTAGCTGTTAGTCTTCTGTCTCGATAACATGAGTGTGGTTTGCTTGAAGTGGAAAAAAAAAAGTTTTTGAATGGTAATCTTCTTTGTCTTTACCTTGACTTGAAGTGGAAAACCCCCACTTTCTTTTGCAGTTTTCATTTGACTTGATGACTTAATGGCATTAAGCAGTTTTGTTCTTACTCTTCTTCAAATAAAAAATTATGCATGCATGGAATCTAATGAAAGAAAATAGGCTTGAGAGTTGTTTTCAGTGATTAACAGCCTTAATGCAGTTAAAACATTACCAGTGACAATCTGAAATGAATTAAATAGCTTTATATAGTCTTTTCTTGAATGGAATGTGTGTAAGAATGAGTTCATTGTGGTAAGTTTAGCTGTCAATTTATGGTTCTTGTATTAGGAGTTTATTTACTTGTATGCTATTTTCTCATCTTGAACAAAGTCTGTGCAAAGTATTTGCTCTATGTCCTATATCTTTCCTGAATCGGTAAGCTTGATGCAGGACTAGATACCATTCAGCAGCGACGAGGTCAGAAAACTGACAAGCCTGTTCTTCTTACTGGCCCCGGAAAGGTTGGTATTTTGTTTTCTTGCCAAAAAAACATAGCTGTTTCGTGGAGTGATGTACATGCAAGTAAAATCCATAATAAGTCATGGCAGATGGATGATTCCTAAAAGAATACATGATAAAGAACATCCTTAAAGTAATTAGGGAGAGAAGGGGGGTTTGACATAACTACAATGTCAGTGAAATGGATATAATCTAATTAAATGAGTTATATAATATCATCAAAACTGGAAGTATTTTTGCAGTTAGTAATTAATGTTATTATGTCATGCAACTGCTTTTGCTGTCAACAATTAATAGGCCACTTAGGGTATATTTTATGTACTAGAGAGGATGATCCTGGAAAATCCATCTCTTATCTTCCCTCTATTCCTGCAGATAGTTGGAAATTAATGAAATTGTTAAAATTTGCTAAAGTTTACTGAACTGAAGTGGATATCATCAAATGTGCACAATTACAAGTTGTTAGTTTCTTTATGTTTTACAGTAATTTCCTCATTGGTAATGGTAGCCAGTGAGGCCTCAGTTCTTCCTAGGCTATATGCAACTGGTACAAAGTATGGGTATGAGAAATTGCGCTCATAAGCATTGCAAAATATTGATAATAAATAATAAAATATCATTATTTTGCTGCTTTTTTATTTTTTTGGACTCATTGTTTTGCTTCCATAATGCACTGTAACAGGATAAAATATCCATAATTTATGAAAATTGGAATATTGATTTTGCACCTTACAACTGCTTGATAATCTGCTATGCTCCCTTCAATATGTTTAATGTTTATTCATTATTGCATTTAGATTGGTCAAGCATTGGGAATTTCAACAGAATGGTCTAACCATCCTCTTTATTCTCCTGGTAAGTGTTTTCAGTTGTCCTTGTCAATCTATAAAATTTTACTAGAATTTGTTTACACTGAAATGAAATAAATTTATATGCCTCAGGTGGTTTGGAGCTCTTGGATGGACCTGAACCTGAAAACATACTGGTGGGTCCACGTGTTGGCATTGAATATGCATTACCAGAACATACTAGTGCACTATGGAGATTCGCCATTGCCGGTACCCCTTGGATAAGTGCTCCTAAAAACACCCTGCGGCCACCCTGATCTTAGAAGAAGCGATGAACAACCATATTAGGAGTTAAATTTTTGAAGGCAGCGCCTTGGCATTTATCTGTCTTTCGTCTAGTTCTAAAATGAAAAATATGACCTTTTAGGGTTTTTTTTTTTTTTTGTTAGGGGGAAGCTGTGGTGCCCTTGTGTGTAACAGAGGAAATCATGTGCGGATTAATCTATAGTCAATCCATAACCAATTTTACTTCGGATTGACCATTATAATACGTTTCTTTTGGAGAAAGAAAGATTGCATTCCTTTTCTTAATTGGTTTAGGATCTTTTTATTACTATATATAAGCGTACATCGTCACGAACTCGCACACTTCGAACCTTTAGTTTTGGGAAGGCTGAAAGGCTTTGTCAAAAAGTTGCCTTACACAAACTCCCTTTATATTAGAAAGAAAATCCCACAGGTTTTTGGCCTTTTGTTTGGCAGTGATAATATAAAATGGACTCTGATGAAGAATGTGACAGCATCTATGAATATGGGAGCGATGATCTGGAATACAACTCCGAGTCTGAGGTTGAACATAACAACAATGATCCCGTCGTGCCTGTCCCCATTAATGGTGAAAATCAGAGTAATGGTGTTGAAGGTAGAATATTCAACAGGGTTTATTTTTGTTATCCTGTTTCTTACACCGGTAAGACACATCTGGAAAACGGCAATCTGATTATAATGCCTTCGTCGGCTCTGGATAGTCTCCTGGACATGGAGGTTAATCACCCTATGATGTTCGAAATCGAAAATAAGGTGTTCGGACGGCGATCTCACTGCGGAGTTAGTGAGTTCACTGCAGAAGAAGGTAGGGTTTTCTTACCAAATTGGTTAATGCAATGTATGGAACTGAAAGATGGAGATACTATTGATATCAGAAGTAGAAATCTTCCTCATGGAACCTATTTAAAGCTGCAACCTCATTCCATGGATTTCTTAGCCCTCCCTGACCCTAAATATGTATTAGAAGAATGTTTGAGTAACAAGTTCTTCTGTTTGACTACTGGAGAAACTATAAAGATCAACTATAACAGTAAAGATTTCTACTTTAATGTTATAGAAACCAAACCGCCTTTTGCTATTAGTATAATTAATACAGATTGCGAACTGGACTTGGCTTGCCCTTTTGATTATAAAGAGCCTGAAAAACCTGCTGTAAAGCAAGAAAAGGTGGTAGCTATGGCGGACAAACCTGCTGCAAAACAAGAAAAGGTGATAGCTATGGCGGAGAAGCCAGAGTTTGTTGCATTCACTGGTTTGGGTAGACGATTAGATGGGAAATCTTCAACTGAACAGACAGCGCGTACAACGGCAGTTGCTGCTGCAGTTAGGAAACGGTTAGATGAGCAGACAAGCAAAACGGAAGAGGTTTTTGAAGCAGAGAAATCCAAGAAAGAACAGTTTCAGCCATTCACTGGTGCTATGTACTCGTTGAGAAGTTGAAATTAGCAATTAGTTACCCTTTTTTTTCTTTATATACAAACTTTTTAATTGTCAAATTTTTTTTTTTTTCTAGAGAGTTTGGAAATGAATTGAGCACTTGTTCTGTGTTGTTGGTGGACTGCTTTTTGGCAAGTTGTGTTTGTAATATTGAAAGCTAGCAAATCATGGTTTGGGAAATATTAGACCAACGACCCTACTATTGGAAAAAGTGATCAATTTTGGTTTAAAGGAATTTTTCTTTTTTTTTGCAGATAATGTTTATTATTATTATAATTTTTCAAAATCAGATTAAAAAAATTATAAAAAGAAAAAAAAATTAAAAAGAAAAACTGTTCCAAACTCGATCCAACCTTAATGTCAATATTTAGATTTTAACAACAACCATTATCAAAACTGTATCCATCAACCTAAACCAAACATGCCCCGATACATCTTAACTAATTAGTCAATGAATTTTTATTAAAAATGATAAATTTCTTACATGTTAATAGTAAATAGGTTTAATTTAAAACTAATTAGATAGTAGTCTGATTGGTATTCTCATTTATATGAAGAGTAAGAGATTTCGAATTTCGACCCATAGAAACCTCTAATGAATTAAAAAAATGTTTAATTTAAAGAAAAAGAAATAGAGATTTGCAAAATACATTTATTCAATTCTACAAATTCAAATTCCAAGTCTTCAGGGGAAACAGTAGAAGATTTCAAATTTTCAACGGCAGCTACATTTCCCAACCGTAACCCTGATCGGAAAATTACATCTTGAACATGGAGAAAAAATCATAATGTCTCCATCAGCTTTCCAGCAACTCCTGGATTACCAAGTTATTTTCCCGATGCTTTTTGAAATCCGAAACGATTCTAAAAGGAGGATTCACAATACGAGGTTTTGGTGTTCACGATGGAGGGAGGTAAAGTATTGCCAAATTGGACGATAAAAAATTTTCAACTACAAGAAGGTGAACTGCTTAATCTGAAAAGTGTTAGTCTTGAAAAGACTACTTACATAAAGCTGCAACCACATTCTGTTGGTTTTTCAGGGATTCTTAACCCTAAAGCTGCACTAGAAGGAGCTCTCTAAGCTCTTTTGCCTCACTAATGGAAATACAATTGTCATTAATTATAATAATAAGAGTTTTTTCATTGATATAGTCGAAACTAAGCCTTCTTCTGCTGTTTGCATCCTTGATACGAATTGCAAGGTTGATTTTGCTCCTCCTCTTGGTTATAAAGAGCCTAAAAAGCTGTTGATTTTGCTCCTCGTCTTGATTATAAAGAGCCTGAAAAGCTGCCGGCCTCCAGACCAGTTTTAGAGGAGGGGGGAAAGTTTGTTCCTTTACTGAAACTGCAAGACGTTTGATGGGAAAGCTGGAGTAGAGTCTTTTGTGCATGAAAATAAGGAAATAGAAACAGAAAGAATTGATGCAGAGTTGTAGAGATCAAGAAAAAATATAGGGAAAGTAGTGTTTGGTCCTTCTGATTCTAAGTATAAAGAAATGAAAGTTATAGCCCTTTGTTGAAGAACTTGCCTCTCCATTTGGGGATGGAACACAACAGAAATTATTAATTCTTGCCTCTTATAGATTCTTCAATTATTATATAAAAGTTATAAAAGGAAGAATAAAAATATTTTCTTAAACACTGAAAAGGCTGTTCAAGAAAAGAAAAAAGAAAAGAGAAAAACAAAACACTCTGAAAAGAGGGAATATAATAAAACGAAGTGTGCTGCGGAAAACTTCAACTCCTCTTTGGTTAGCGATAATAACTGATAAATCCATCCAGGAAAGTTGCACAATGCGGTAAATATTTCAGTTATCTTGCTCCAAAAAATACTAGAGGTAAACAGTTCATTAAACTAAGAATCATATGAATTTAAAACCTGAAAAACTTGTACTCTTACCAAGTTATGGTCCTGTATAATTTTGAACAAAGCGCAAAAAGGTTGTCAACCCAGAGAACATTCTCTGTTGACAAGATAAAAATGCAGCCTAAATTGCACTGGCCTCGGCTGCTCCTTCACTGAGAATATATCTATGAGGAAAGCTGGAGCCTTTTTCCCATGGATTCATTCAAAAGAAAATATATTTATGAGCTTAAAATCATCCCTGTAATCCATATAACAGTGAAAAGAAAGTTAGATCACTTAAGGCATGTTTGCCTTTTCTTACAGTATCACCATTTATTTTCATTGCAAGGTAAGCTTACCACAAAAATAAGGAATTATGAGAAATCTTTTTGAGACAATACCAGCATCAACTAGAGTGGAACCATTTGGAAAATAAAACATGTAAAAGCAAAATCATGTAGAATACCTTACTCATCATTTAACCATTACAGAACTATGATACAAATATACAAGCACGGATATGGAAGAAAATCACCAGTAAAGAATTGGACTATCATATTCAAACTGTCTACACTATTTTTAACATTGTCATTCAATGATACAAAAATACCTTCAACATGATCGCAAACTTTCGTGCAAGCCACCAGAAAGGACTACAAACCATCTGAAAATGTAGAATATAGGTGTTAGTGCCTTCAAAAAAAAGACTGAAAACAAAATGATGAAATGTAACAAAAGAAGCTAAGAATCTTCGAGTACCTAAAATCAAGCAATAAAATACAAACAGGTTGTCCAGATGTGAACAATGAACTGCAAATTGTTGTCACGAGACAATGAGCAATTAGTCAAACTGAAGCATTCTTTTGATGCCTTGAATTTCAAATCTTGTTTTGACCTAAACGTATCAGCTGATTTTTCCTAACTTTTTATTTGATAGGATGTAGCTGACTATAAAATTCCGTGAAGTCAAGCCGGAACAGGAGGAACTTCAAATCAACATGTTGCTGCACAGGCAATTGAGATAGGAATCCTTCTAGCAATGTTGTATATTCCTTTGCTACAGAATCCAGTTCCTGCCCCATATTTCGAAGAAATTCCCCAGCACGTAGTGTTAGGGCCTTCCTGCCATCATTAATCCATGATCCAGGTTCTGAAGATTTATCTCTTGTCTGCTTTCTAGATTTGTTCTTATCTTGAGAAGGTAAAGAAGAAGTTGTTCTGTGTGAGAGAGAGAGAGAGAGAGAGAGAGAGAGAGAGAGAAAGCAGGTGTAATTTAAAACATGCCCATTTGACTAAACAAATTACAACTTAAAAAAAATGAAGCAGCAGTATGCAAAGATATGAATGTTTACCTTGCTTGCAATTCATGAATGCCTTCATATAACCGATCTGCATGACTTCTGAAACATAGTATAAGGTCAAACAAGACAAATAGCGACTTGTAAAGAGGTTTCGAACATTCACCAAGAAGAGATTTTTCCACAATTGAATGGAGGTACTTCTCATGGGCCGCAAGTAGATCATCAAGATCCTTTGCTACTTCCATTTCATTGGAAAAATTAGACCATGACACCTCCAAGACTTCAAACATTATATAATATTGCAAGTTTGTAACAAAGTGGTTCATCTCATCCCAAAGAACCTGACAACGCCTCAATGTTGAAAGTAATTGCAACTTAACCGCACCCTGCAGCTTAGTGAAAGGATGAGAAGTAAAATTTGGTTTCATTGTCTTCCAAGCACCGATAAGTGCATGCTCTACTCGTCTCAGCTTCCATAGAAAATTAAAAATTCTGAAATACCTTGCCATAACAGACTCTGTAAACACCGTATCAAGCGGAACTCTAGCATCATATTCCAATGAGAATACATCCCAGCCCCTATCTCCAGAGCCATGTGGCATCAGCTTGACCCTCAATCTATCTAAAATGTCTCTGTCATCGTACTGAGCATTGGACGATCGAATTGCACTTTCCAGCAACCCAGCTAGCTTGAATGAGCTAATGGTATTAGCAGGCTCAGAAAGTTCCGGTCCAACAATATCCATTAGATACTGAACAAAATCACCTTGGCCTAGTAGTAAATAGCGCTTAATTGCAAGACAATGCTCTTTGAACTTATATCTCGTGTACATAACATCCAAAAGATGCTTATCTATTCTCTTTGCTGCTTCATCAACCAGAGTTTCAAGTGCATTAGTTTCACCATATCCAAGACTTCCTCTTCTAGTTGTGGTACCAGCAGTCTGAAATACCTTGCCATAACAGACTCTGTAAACACCGTATCAAGCGGAACTCTAGCATCATATTCCAATGAGAATACATCCCAGCCCCTATCTCCAGAGCCATGTGGCATCAGCTTGACCCTCAATCTATCTAAAATGTCTCTGTCATCGTACTGAGCATTGGACGATCGAATTGCACTTTCCAGCAACCCAGCTAGCTTGAATGAGCTAATGGTATTAGCAGGCTCAGAAAGTTCCGGTCCAACAATATCCATTAGATACTGAACAAAATCACCTTGGCCTAGTAGTAAATAGCGCTTAATTGCAAGACAATGCTCTTTGAACTTATATCTCGTGTACATAACATCCAAAAGATGCTTATCTATTCTCTTTGCTGCTTCATCAACCAGAGTTTCAAGTGCATTAGTTTCACCATATCCAAGACTTCCTCTTCTAGTTGTGGTACCAGCAGCAGCAGCAGCCTCTGTTGCAGCATCAGCCCAGCCACGATCATCGCAACAAACACGAAGAAAATTTATTGATTTCCCAGTCCTTAAGATACGCTGAGCAAGAGATTGCGAAATAAATGTAGGAAGCATACCAGCATACAGTCGATAACCTTCCCTCCATAGTGACTCAGCTTTCACAGGCTGACCCACAATAAAGAACTCAGCAAAAATGTCCTCCAACTCTCCTTCCAAAACCCAACTCCTAACCATTTCAAAGAGTGGAGAACATACACGCTGAAGTAAACTCCTCATAAACTCGTGAACAAGTGGATCACCATGCTGGGCATGCAAATGTATAGCCCCAGCCATTGCCCCACCCCTTAAAACTCTACACTTATCAACCAAAACAGCCATTAATCTCATTTTCACCATTGGTTCTGCAAACCAAACTGACAATCTCCTCAATGACAAATAATTCCCAGAACTAGCCGCCTCTGAAACCAATGGAATAGGATTCATTGCCTGTGCTTCGAGCACAGCCAACAACTTATAATATTCTGAGAGCTCATCCTGCAATGCAGCACAGAATGCCTGTCCTACAGTGCCTACATCTTCAGCCGAAAACCGATCCATACTCTCTGAAATATACCCTTTAACCTTCCTGAACAACCACCCCAACTCACAAAGCTTCCTGACAATAAGCCTAGTAGATCTGGAAACATTAAAGGTATCCGGCAAGACATAACCGTCAACATTTGCATCAAATATCACATACTTCCCATCAATACCTTGGCAAGCATATAACACATCTCTTACCAAAACCTCCTCAGACACCGCATTTTCTTCTCTTACCAAATTCACATACTCCTTAAATGCAATCTCACGCAAATTCTCTGGATCTTTAGAAACCAATAAAACGCCATTATCCCAACTCTTTTCTCCTCTCTTTGACTTATAAAGAACCCGCGAATCATTGTTTAAATCAGGGTCATTTAAAGCTAAATTAGGCAACAAAGGCATCGAATTGGGTCCATTTTTTCCAGTTTTCCTATCATCAGAAATGATTTTAAGCAAGTAAAGCACTGCCCATTTGTTATTAATACTACCCGGCCCAGTTTTCGAAGCGAATTTGGTATAAAGATCAGCGAAAGTAAGAGCCTGCGATGACTTACCTTGAGTGGCAAGGCGACGCTTGATAGATTCAGCGATTGCAGCAGCATCAGGCGCAATGGAGGGGGTTAATCTGCTGGAGAGGATACGAATAGTGTAGCGAAGAGCGTTCTGGAAATCGAGTGAATTGGAGTTGGAGTTAGGGTTTGAATTTGGGGTTTTAGAATTAGGGTTTTGGGAGAGTAAACGGTGAACTAGCTCCTTGACTAGATCTAAGACCTTTTGCTGATCTTCTTCTTCCATTGTTTTTCCTTTTTAGACAGAAAGAAAAGAGAAAATGAGTTGGTGAGTGAGTGAAGGCTTTGAATACTGAGTTGGGGAGTGAGTCAGTGAAGGAGAGAGACTGAAAGAGAAAGCGTGAGAAAAGGGTTTTTGATTTTATATGGGCGGGGAAATGTAAAAGTTTTATATTTTTCAAATGGGCTTTTGATAAGGGTTTTATATGGGTGCACGAGAAGCTGTAAAACTTCGATTCAACGATAGACACTTGGCAGATTTATCAAGTTTTGAAAATCGGCACCGTATTAAGAGTTGTATTTTTTTTTTAAAAATTTTTTTTTGACCCGGTAAGAATAAGAGAAAAAAGAGGAGAAAAATTATATTGAAACATTAAATTAAAACCTCTAATTTAATACCTATGAGCTGTGGCTTAGTTGACAACAGAAGCTGAGCATGTGAAAAGAGTTTTGGGTTTGATTCTCATTAAATGTACCTAGAGGGAGGAGCGAAGAACTTTAATTGTGATCAAACCTCGAGCCAAATTAAGCGGTTTCAAATTATAGGTCTGAACATCGATGGTGTAAAAAAAAAAAAACCTCCAATTTAATTAAAATGTCACTAGCTATTTTGCATAATGTACAAGGAAAAATTATGGCTATTTTGCTCATTCAATCTTTCTTTGCTTAGATGAAAAAATACAGCCAAGTGTTTGTTTTAGATGTACTTAAATTCATGATTTCTTGCACCTTTCCTTTTTTTTCTTTTTTTCTTTTTTATCCCTTCTTCTTCCTTAAAATTGGATGAGAAAATTCTAAACTATGTAATACACTCTTCTTAATATGTTTGTGAATCGATGATTTCTTTTCCTTCTTATTATTTAAATTTTGATTCTTATTTTTCGTATAGAAATCCTTGATAAATAATAAATTAATATCCATTTTAAATTATATTTAATGAACTCTTCAGCTCGAACCAAAGAAACAATTATCAAATTGATTGTAAATTTATCAAGTTGATTAACAAAATCATAGAAAGAAAAAACCTAGTGGTATCTTTGTTGCTCACTTTTTTTAAGTGTTCTTTTAGATTTTGTTTTTTAAATTACTTTCGATCGTTTTCTTTGGTCGCTGGTGGTTTCTTTTCATCATCTTTATTGTTTTTCTTTATTTTATTTAATTTTCTTTCTAATAGTTTTTAAACATATGACCGTTTATAGCAAAACTTCGATTTAGTCTCTCAGATTTGTAATAATTGATAGATTTTGAGTATTTTTAGTACTCTCTCGATGAGGTTATTAATTTCTCTTCTTTCATGGGATATATTAAACTTTTCACGGGTGTCAGTTGTAACAAGTTTCAAAAAAATATCATTCGAGACAATATCGTGAAAAGTTTATCTTGTCGTCTCATTTAAAAATGGATCATTTTTTACTTGAAAGATTAATATCTTATGCCAAAATCAAGATTATCTCCAAACAAAAGATTTCAATTTTTTATATTTTTATTTATTATTCCTATAAGAATAGAAATATTATGATAATATATATTCATTATTAATGAATTGATTGTAAATTTTTTTTATTGTCTTCGACTTCTTACAAATAACAATTCACATAGTTGATAATAAATAAAATATAAATTTTTATAAATTATAAATCATGTTGTTGGAACTAGCTAGAAAAATAATAATTTTTATATTAGACTTATGGTCTAGGTTCACTCATAATAAAAGCTACATAAAAACTCAAACAGAATGTATGGTGTCTATGTAACTTTTAAACAACGACCGAATATGTAATTTAATCTCTAAATCTTGATAAAAATATTTCATGTAACCTTAAACTTCGAAATAAGCTATGTGTTTCCCAAAATTTCTCAGAAATTAACTATGCGACTGTCCGGCGAGACTCCAGGAGGCAAAAGCTTGAGAATTACACACTGAGCTCAAATCCGAAATTTGATTTTTAATCGGTATTTTAAGATTCAATTTGTTAAATTCAATATAAATTTCAAGTTTAGAAATTGTTGTTATTAATTAAATTAGTTTTGATTAAAATAATTAAGGGTTAAGAATAAAATAAGATTTTATCAAATTAGAGCAAATTAAATATTTAAGTGTTAAGATTCAATTTGTTTAAATCAATATAAAATTTCAAAGTTTTAGAAAATTGTTGTTATTAATTAAAATTAGTATTTCAAGTTTAGAAATTGTTGTTATTAATTAAATTAGTTTTGATTAAAATAATTAAGGGTTAAGAATAAAATAAGATTTTATCAAATTAGAGCAAATTAAATATTTAAGTGTTATTCGAATTATCTCGAGGACGGAAAATGATTTAAGTAAAATGAAATTTATTGCTGGATAGGTATCAATTATTTTGAAATTAGGACTATATGAACAAAGATGGTGATGAAATAGGTTACTTAGAGGATATAATATTTTGAGTGAGATTAATCGAGTGAGGGATTATTTATATTTGGTTATATAAAAGATTTATTATTTGGCGACTGGTTAAGGAAGTAAACCATATCGAGATGAAAATATTTGAGGATATATTGGGATTAGATCGACGCTTATTTTAATAATAAGCTATGAGTTGAACATAAAATTATTACTGGTCATAATTGGATTATTGATTGCCCGATGGATAGACTATGTAAGTAATAATCGATAAGTGTATTAAATAGTTAATACTTGAGCAAATAGAGAGTTCTATTTGAAGGACAATACTATCAGAAATATCGATAAGATTTAGATTAATTAAAGCAGTCCAATATCTAAGCAGATATATGATACATTAATTATTATTTAAGAAAAATCATCTGTTTAATGCAGTCTTTCCTTTGTATTTGTGTTTTATATAGGTTATCCGAGTTTGTTTACCGCTCTTGCTAGTTAAAAATTCAAATGGAGTCTTGCTCCTTCTTTTATCATTGTAAGTAATAATAAATGATGCATGCAGTCATTTGCAAACATGCATTGACCAATTTGCATCTTTTTATATATATATATATATAAAACTAAAGATCAAAGTATAAACTAGTACCAACTTCTCTTGTACCAAATAAAACAATATTTATCATTTACTACTTGTTGGTACTAAGACAAGTCTATAATGCAAGTCTGTCATGTAACGGTCCTTAAACTGTCATATCTGAGAAAATTAAATCTCACATTTTTAAACTGTAACACCCGCCGCCCAGTCCCGAGAGACTCGACGGCGGATGCCACATTTGGTGCCGGAGACACCGTTTTAACTTAACATATTGGTGCCCGGGAGACAACACGTTTTAACCTTAAACATATAAATCATAAAAACCTAAAATTTTATAATTAGAAGTACTGAAGGTAGTCACTAGCAGTTTCACGAAGTAAGATTTTTTTTTTATAAAATAGTAATATTTCATTTCCTTTTTCCTTATCTTTTTATAATATATATATATATAATTACAGTCGGGAAAAAAAAAAATCCTACAGAAATACTGTAAGAATATCCCTATAAAAACTGAGCTCGCCAAACATGTGAATACAAAATACTCTCAATTAAACTCTAAACTTTCAAATTTATGATTTGAAAGAATTAAATTATTATGTTATTATTTATACGGTTATTTGATATTCTAAGTGACGAACTAAAGTATTTATGGTGATTAAATGTCTCATTCATTATATACATATATCAAGTCTCAATGAACTAATCATATCAACTGACTTCAAATATTTCATATTCAATCATTTAATAACTCGTATTCTTATCTCCAAATATATCCACCAAAATAATTTTATAATTACATACTTCAATTATATTTGAAATAACATAATATCTGAAAATGTAACAATTATACATGCCATCATTCTTCATTATATAAATCTCAATCGATTACCACCAAATTAGTCACTTCTGCTCTTCAAATCTTCAAGTAGCAACCACGATCTCCAACCTACGCGTGATAAAAATCGACGCGCTGAGTATAAAACGCCTGAGTATAAAACTCAGGTGGTTTGCTCATAATTCACAATACTTACCAAAGTTGCGATGGCAACTTACTTTAAACACAAATTTCGTAAAATCATTTATAATCATAAAATCATTAAATTTCAACATGCATTTACATTATAGCAAAAGAAATATCAAATAAACTATTACTTAATAACATAAATCATTTAATTCTTTATACCATAAATCCTTTACTTAAACATTTAATCACTATAAATAATTTAGTTCTTTACTTAGAATATCAAATAAACTTATAGTTGTAACATAATAATTTAATTCTTTCAAATCATAAATTCATTACTTGAACATTACATATACTCTTTATTTTTAATACCATGCACCGAAATATCATGCTTAGAAAATTCATTTGATAACATAATTATTAATTTCCAAAGAAAGGTTTACTAAAATAATATGATCTCATTCGTTTAATTTTCTTACAAATATTTTTCATAGGGCTCATATACACGTAGGAGAAAAAGAAGCAGATAGGTTTTCAAAACAGATTCATAATGGCCTTAGGTCGCCAACCTTTTCATAACATATAGAGCGCGTCCGCCCTAACATAAGACACCCACGTGCCTAGCATATGATCATAGCCGTTCGCCTTAACAGAACAGAAGACACCCACGTGTCTAGCATATGATCATAGCTTCTTATCATAATAGCATCAAATGCCGAGCATGCTCATCAGACAGAATAAAATCAAATGCTCATCAGACAGAATAAAAGATCAAATCACGGCATCAAATTCACACGTAAGTATATTAGAGCCCAAAATCCTTGTTTGTAATTCTTAACTGTTCATTGACTTATTTAGAAACTGTCTATTCTTTAAGTCCTTCTTAAATCAATAATCGTAAGCTTACTTTTAGAATATATTAAATCATAAATTACTGAATCATAGACATTTTACTATCATAAATGAATTCATACAGTGTAAGCTTACTTTCAGAACTTAAGTAACTCATGTATACGTTAAACATGAATTACTGTTAATATAGGAGAAATTTAATCCAATAAATCCTTTTCTTTCTTAAAAACTTTCTTAAAGTCATAATGAAATTTATCATACAAGAAATTTCTTATCAATAATAAAATCATATTTCCTTATTCAAACATTCAAAGCACATACACCATAAATACCTACCATTTCGTTGTTTAAAACT